TTCTTCCATGTGAAAAGTGTGTGTGTTTAAATATACACAGGTGCGCAGCTGACAAACGTTTGCAAATCAACCAATTCCTAACTACACAAGTAGTGGGTGCTTTTCACGTAATATTTTTCCATAAAATCAAAACCGCATACGCAGACCAAACCTAAATACTTTAAAAATGATGTTTAGCTTACTTCTCATAAATTCAAGATAAAAGGAAAACTGCCAAACCAAGCCAAAATTGATAAGCAAAACAAAACGGGGGAAACCAACCCAATAAAGAATAAAGACAGAAAAGCAGCAGTAAAGGCTCATAAGAGATAGAGAGAGAAAGATAGCAAGACAAGTGAGTTTGCCGGAATTCGGTCAAGGTAAGCGAGATTCGATCTAATAAATGAAAACAACAATCAAAATGCCGAAAGGAAATAAGTAGACTAAAGCAATCCCGACAGCGAAGCCAACAAAAAATAAGACGGGAAACCAGAAGTAGGGTAAGTGTGCAAATTATCGACATTTTCCATACAACTAAATCATATTCTGCCTATTTTCGATGCAACTGATGGTTTCATACCGAAATAGGTTCGTTATGTTTCAAACAGGAAGTGCTGATTTTTCAGTTAGTCGAAAATTAGTACATTTACCCTACGAAAAACTGAATAAATGAAGGAAATTCGGAAGTACTTGGGAGCCATGGTTGGTGGTAGAAATAATACCGCTGAGCAATATTCGCCGGAGGGCAGGGGTGGTAAAATAAATTGGTCCTTTGTTATCAATAACGAAACGTGTATCGGACAAAGATAATATGATTTTGGTGATCTGGTGGGTTTTCCACGCTGCCCTTGGGCAAAAGGAGAAGTGAAACAGAAGGAGGGAAACTTAACCAAATGCAATATTTAACGAAGTGGGAAGTGGTGTCATGTAATGATTTCACTGATTGGTATTTAAATATTGACCGAGAAGAGCAATTTTTGTTTATCTCATTTTGCTGCCTCCGATGGATTTTTGTTTTACATGAATCACATAACGGTGAATATTCATATTGCAGTGTAATGAACATCCATTAAAAGAAAGCGGAATTCTTGGAGATCGATACGAAATTTCCAATAAGCCTGCTTGCTATGGACAAACACCCGAATTGATTTTTCTTTTAAATATTGAAAAGTGGCAATTAAAAATGTAAAACGTTTGAGTCACGGATGTGAATGCTTTAGATAGCGTTCAATCTTATAGTGGCCCGGGGTGGTTCATTAAAGGTTTACCATCACTTCAACTTAAATTGTAGATTTTCGTGGATTTTTTTTATTATAGTCACTTTAACGCTTTCGGGTGGTCATTCGTGACTTGTCCGGGTATGAGATTAGAACTCGAGACTTAGGCGTAAGAGGAATGGATGTTAACCACTACGCCAGGGCCGTCCCCTAAATGTTAATTCAAAAAGTATAAATTTGACATCAATCTGAAGCTTACCTACTAGGATGTCCATAAATGACCGTTTCACCCTAAATCTGTTGTCAAGGTACTAATGCTTCTGGAAACTCTAGGAAACGTACTTCTGGGATGCTTTGAAGTACTATCGAATTTTTGAGAAGCATTCGCCAACATTTTTGAAAAAGCTTCGCCATGCTATTTTAAGCTTCATTAATACTTTCGAGAAGCACTTGAAAAAGCTTCAGCATGCTTTATGGTAGAGCAGACTGAGAAGAAGCAAGCTTTCTGTGAAGTTTTTGCATGCTTTTTTAGAAGCTTTTACTAGACTTTTGCGAAGTTATATCAAGCTTTTTGAGAAACTTTTGCTTGCTTTTGAGAAGCTTCATCAAACATTTTGAGAATTTTCAGTTTTTTTTCTATCTTCACCTTCTCGAGAAGTTACAATATGATTCTATAAATGCTGCAGCATGTTTCCTATGAGACTTATGTAATTCTTGAGATACTTTAGTATCCCAAAAAACAATTTGAGCTGAACAATGGTTGAATAATCCAGTTTTTTGCTGAACAAGCATATTTTGCCTGAATATGCTCTTGTTCCGCTTGCAATGTTTGTTGGGGTGCTTATGGATAAGCTTTCGCAAGCTTTTTGAAACATTTCAGCAAGGTGCTTCAGAGCAGCAGTATACTTGTTGAAAAGATTCGTCAACATTCTGCAAAGGTCAGGCTTCTTGAGACATCAAGGTTTTTGAGAAATTTCGCATGATTCTCAAGAAGCTGCATTAACATTTATGAAATGCTTTTGAAAGCTGACTGAAAGATTCGTTACGGTTTTCGAGCTGATCCCTCAAAATTCTTATCGAGAAGCTCCAGCAATCTTATTGAGAAGCTTCAGCAAGCTTCTTGAGAAGCTTCAGTAAACTTATTAAAAAGCTACTGTATGATTCTTGAGAAGAACTTCTTGAGAAACTTCAGCAAGCTTCTTGAGAAGCTTCAGCAAGCTTCTTGAGTAGCTTTAGTAAGCTTCTTGAGAAGCTTCAGTAAGCTTCTTGAGAAGCTTCAGTAAGCTCCTTGAGAAGCTTCAGAAAATTTATTCAGTAGACTTCTTGAGAAGCTTCAGTACGCTTCTTGAAAAGCTCCTGTATGATTTTTTAGAAGCTTCAGTATGCTTCTTGAGAAGCTTCAGCAAGCTTCATGAGAAGCTTCAGCAAGCTTCTTTAGAAGCTTCAGCAAGCTTCTTTAGAAGCTTCAGCAGACTTCTTAAGAAACTTCAGCAAGCTTCTTAAGAAGCTTCAGTAAGCTTCTTGAGAAGCTTCAGTAAGCTTCTTGAGAAGCTTCAGTAAGCTTCTTGAGAAGCTTCAGTAAGCTTCTTGAGAAGCTTCAGTAAGCTTCTTGAGAAGCTTCAGTAAGCTTCTTGAGAAACTTCAGTAAGCTCCTTAAGAAGCTTCAGTAAGCTTCTTGAGAAGCTTCATTAAGCTTCTTGAGAAGCTTCATTAAGCTTCTTGAGAAGCTTCATTAAGCTTCTTGAGAAGCTTCAGTAAGCTTCTTGAGAAGCTTCAGTAAGCTTCTTGAGAAGCTTCCATAAGCTTCTTGAGAAGCTTCAGTAAACTTCTTTAAAAGCTACTGTATGATTCTTGAGAAGAACTTCTGGGAAAACTTCAACAAGCTTCTTCAGAAGAGCCTATTGAGAAACTTCAGTAAGCTTCTTGAAAACTCCTGTATGATTCTTTAGAAGCTTTAGTATGCTTCTTAAGAAGCTTCCGTAAGCTTCTTGAGAAGCTTCAGCAAGCTTCATGAGAAGCTTCAGCAAATTTCTTTAGAAGCTTCCGCAATTTTCGCGAGGCTTCTGTAAGCTTCTTGAGAAGCTTGCTGAACCTGTATGATTCTTTAGAAGCTTCAGTATGCTTCTTAAGAAGCTTCAGCAAGCTTCATGAGAAGCTTCAGCAAGCTTCATGAGAAGCTTCAGCAAGCTTCTTTAGAAGCTTCAGCAGACTTCTTAAAAAGCTTCCGCAATTTTCGTGAAAAGCTTCTGTAAGCTTCTTGAGAAGCTTGCTGAACCTGTATGATTCTTTAGAAGCTTCATTATGCATCTAAAGAAGCTTCCGTAAGCTTCTTGAGAAGTTTCAGCAAGCTTCATGAGAAGCTTCAGCAAGCTTCTTTAGAAGCTACAGTAAAATTTATTTAGAAGTTTCAGAAAATTTATTCAGTAGACTCCTTGAGAAGCTTCAGTACGCTTTTTGAAAAGCTCCTGTATGATTTTTAGAAGCTTCAGTATGCTTCTTGAGAAGCTTCAGCAAGCTTCATGAGAAGCTTCAGCAAGCTTCTTTAGAAGCTTCAGCAGACTTCTTAAGAAGCTTCCGCAATTTTCGTGAGAAACTTCTGTAAGCTTCTTGAGAAGCTTCAGCAAGCTTCATGAGAAGCTTCAGCAAGCTCCTTGAAAAGCTTCAGCAAGCTTCTTGAGAATCTTCAGCAAGCTTTTTGAGAAGCTTCAGCAAGCTTCTTGAGAAGCTTCCGCAATTTTCGTGAGAAGCTTCAGCAAACTTCTTGAGAAGCTTCAGCAAGCTTATTGAGAAGCTTCAGCAAGCTTCTTGAGAAGCTTCAGCAAATTTCTGTAGAAGCTGCAGCAGACTTTTTAAGAAGCTTCCGCAATTTTCGTGAGAAGCTTCAGCAAGCTTCTTGAGAAGCTTCAATAAATTTCTTTAAAAGCTACTGTATGATTCTTGAGAAGAACTTCTTGATAAACTTCAGCAAGCTTCTTCAGAAGAGCCTCTTGAGAAATTTCAGCAAGCTTCTTGAAAAGCTCCTGTATGATTCTTTAGAAGCTTCAGTATGCTTCTTAAGAAGCTTCAGTATGCTTCTTAAGAAGCTTCCGTATGTTTCTTGAGAAGCTACAGCAAGCTTCTTGAGAAGCTTCAGCAAGCTTCTTGAGAAGCTTCAGCAAGCTTCTTGAGAAGCTTTTGTTAGGACGGTTTTACCGCACGGTCGATCAAACCAACTCAAAGTGGAGTCGAGTCGTCGCAATTTCATCAAAAGTGGATTTAGTCAAAAAGTGAGTTGAATTTTCCGGGCAAAAAACTTTTTGAATATGAGGAAAATTCTACTCAGTCTAGGAGTCTACTAATAGACTCGGTAAAGCTTCTATCGATTTTTCTCATATTCAAGAAATTTTTCCTTTCAACGCTCTTTTTTGTAAATCCACTTTTGACGAAATGGAGTCGACTCTGACTTGACTCAATTTTGAGTCGGTCTGAATGTCCGCGCAGTACGTTTTCGAGAACGTTTTACTAGGCTTCTGGAGGAATCCCATTGTAACTGAAATCACCCATTAAAGAAAGAAAAAACATCAAGCAAGGAATTGCAACGCAAATAAATCATAAGTTGATTTCATCAAACTTTTCGCGAGAATAAAAAAAATAAATCATCATCACGCACGAACACAGCCAAAAATACGTGAGAGCAAAAGAGTAATATAGAGTAAATCGAACTTGGGGCTGTGTGTGCGGCCCTACGCGAGAGCAGTCATTCGCAACACGGAAGCGGAAGAAAACTGAGAAAACTGAGGTGGTGGTGGGCCACTCGGATTTCACGCGAGGGGGTCTGCTTACCTTCGCTTGACCGTCCTGCCTTCCTGGAGAAGGCATACCAGCATCGACGGCGGCGATGTAGCTAAGCTTGTCGTTATTGTTAGTAGAACGAGCATTAGTAGCGGCAGTGGAGATGCTTTCCGCCAAGTCTTCAAGTTCATTGTTGCTGTTGTTGATAATGATGGCCGTGGTGGTGGTGGTGGTGGTGCTACCGGTGGTGGTTAGTGGTGCTGTTCCGGGGGATGTACCAGTCGAAGTAAGGGGACTGCGAATAGTGGTCGTGGGTGGTGGTGGATTCGAGGTGGTTAATTCTGTAGTCTTCATAGTCGTCGTCGTCGTCGTCATCGTCATTGGTAAGGTCGAGGATTTGGTGGTCCATGTGGGATTACCACTCCTGGCGGTGCTCAGTGGGGATTCTTCGGTCCACACTTGATTAGATAAATTATCGTCGTTAGTTGGATCAATGGCGGTGGTCATTTCCGGAGTGGAGGCAAAAGTGCTGGTTGCCGGTGTCGTGTTTTTGGTTGATGTCGTTGTCGTAGTACTGCTGCTGGCATCGGTAGTAGCAGTCGTTATTGGCGGGACAACTTTGGAGCTTGTTAGCGAGCTTCTACTTTTGGCTTGGAGGATGACGGGTTCCTTCGTAGTGGTTTTGATGTTTGCACTTGATTGGAATGTTTTCTGAGTCGTTGAAAGTTTGTCAGTGGTTGAAGTGATTTGAGTAGTCGTAGTTGTCTTTGAATGGACCACCGGGGTCACAGCATCTTCAATCGAGTAATCGTCCTTGAAGACATCCCGTCCTTTGAGTTGCTCAATGTCCGGTAGCATCAGTTCGGTTTCGACGATTCTTTGGATGTCAATTTTCTTATGTTTGGAAGCTTTCTTTGCCAGCAAGCTTTCTTCTTCCTTTTTCAGCTGTTCGTTGTTCTCAATCGTTTTCGTAATGGTCGATTCCAGCTGGGAAACACTTTCCCGGATGTCGGCCTGAGTGAAATCGAACTGATCATTCGATTCGGTCTGTGTTGCGTCCATTTTCTTGGTGTAGGATTTCTTCTTGCCATGCCCTTCGACGCTTCGATCCAGCACTCCAGCAGGTACAATCTGATTGTCTTCGTCCGGTTCCCCATGATGTCTGTGCCCGCCACCCACAGTCCCAGACTTGTTATTGTTGTCGCTATGCTTATGACTATATTTTTCACTGTTAGTAACGGTCACGTGTGAAGGCTAAATAGGGGAAGCCACATTCCATGGAAGCAACATTGTTGACGTAGATGGCGCCACCGATCGAGGGGAGAGATACCAATCATACACAGTAGTGAAACGGCCGCACGATGGTTTGTCGTTGCGGTTCAGGTGGTGTAACGCGATGGTGATGATGGCGGTTAGTGGATGACGGGTGCCGGGGCGCAGGAAAGAGAAAAAGCAATGACGTTATTTACACAACGAGAGAAAACAAAGGGCATTAAAGGGTTTTACTTCACAAACACACGAAAACAGTTTATGGAAGTTTACAGGGACGACAACTCAGAATTGAACTTAGCTCCTGCTGAATGGCACGAAATTATGATGAATTTGTGGGAAAACAAATGGTCATTGTGTAAATTGAGGGAAACTCCCTGGGTCTATTCAAACAAAAATGACTCAAAACGTCCTTTATTACCGAACCCAATGACTCTACTATTCCCAAAAGAAAAACCCCGTGGCCCGTCCCTCAGGGGCCAATTAAAATATTAAGGGAAAGCATTTTTTCCCGTTTCCACACGAAACAATCGATTTTCTCCAAACTTTATAGGTGTAGGGTTTCGCGTTACTTTGTGGAACTTCGTCTTACGCACTTATAAATGGCTGTTCGGCGATGCAGCGCAAAAACGATGATGAGAACAAGGCATTCCCATTTTTTAAACGCATAAAACGAAAATAGATTCCACCAGGCAAAGCAGCGCGGAACCCTAAGGAATGGGAAGCAGGAAAACGGAAGAGTGAGTAGATTTTCCATAGAGGTAGGTATCCATTATACGCTTACCAGTCGGTAATGGCATATTTCCGCTCGTTCTGGATGGGACCATGATAGGATGGGACATAGGCGGTCATAATATATTGCAGCCCTGGTGTTTTTTTTGCGATTTTCTAGTTGACCGTAGTTGTACGATGACATGGAAAACCGGGAACAAAGTATCAATGAACGGGAACCGGAAACGACACGAAAGGGTATGACCGTAGATTCGTGGTGTAATTTGATTTTTCCGATGTCATTCGCTGTTGGATTTTTGCTCGGTTAAAATTTCTTTATTAAAAAAAAAAAAACGAGAAACATCGATGGAGCGTTTGGGAGTCAATTTTACCCGAATGAGGAAAATGCGTCGGTGTTTTTGAAACGGTTCGTTCGTTGGTTCGTTCGTTCGTTTATATGTCTGATTGCTACGGGTGTTTTTGTGTGCATGGAAACTCATTTCTCGTGAACTAGGGAACATGTTACGAGAAAGGATGTTGGATTTTTTTCATCAGTTTTTTTTAGGTCAAGAGAACTTCTCTGAGTTTAATTCAAATTTTAATCAAGGTATCCTCCTTGACACCGTTGCATTCGTTGAATGTTTTTACTATAATTATTTGCATCTGAAATTTGTGGTACTCGGTATTTCAGGATACAAATTGATAATGATGAAGTTATTCAATTGGTTTTGGGTCTTTATAGTTCTTATAAAACTTATAAAACAAAAAGCTTAACTTAAAAACTTTTATCAGTTATTACAGCGATTCTTTTGTTTCATGCTGAAACGTTCTATATAAGTTATTTAAGGTGTTATTTCCAGAGTATCAATAATTTTTTAATAAGCAAAGTGATGAGTATTTATGGAGCACAGTTATAAGAGGGAAAACAGTTTACAACTTTCGCTTACATAGCTAAAAAGCTCATTCATAACTTGAGAGATTTTTCTGGGGCGGCTGATCATCGTCTTGGTGCCAGCGTGAAATTTAAGGAGAGCTGTGCACGACGATCCTCTTGTGAGACAGGGCACGTAATATATGTGGTACTGGATCATCAAAAATCGACCCCATTCCAGTGATTTAAAGTGGTATAGGTAGAAAGACATCGATCTGACAAATTGATTATACCAGCTGTAAAATGAGAAAGGGAATCAAGCGGGTAGTCAATTCTATTAAAATAATATTAACCTGATATTGTTTTTCTGTAGTTATGGCAAAAATGGTAGCTCCACGCGAATACTGGTTTAATTCTTCTCATTCTAAAATTGTGCGGATATATTTTTCTATTTTATTTCTGTAAACTTAGAAGAAGAATGTATGTGCAATTTTTTTTGTTAAAATTTTCCTAATTGTTTGGAACCAATTGCATCAACCTTTGAATTCATTTCATAGGAGGAAAAAAATGACTGTGTAAATTAGTAGTTTACTGCATTCATTTTGAAGTCCAGAGAGAAGCAGCATAAAATATGCTGAAAATATGCAGTGTTTTGAGGTGACCATCGTTCCATTCGCAAGAATTTCGTAAGCTGGACGATAAATCAAATCGAGCGCTTTGATACCTGTAATACCCAAGGATTCAACCCTTCATATGTTTCTCAACTGCGGCCAACACAAAGATTTACTCCAATTACTTTGGACTAAAAAAAACGTGGAAAGATTGATCTAAAAGGGAAAGGAGGGGCGAAACAGGATCCTAATAAACTTTGTTCGACCACTATGGCTAAGGTCCCAGGCTAAGACTCCCAGCTAGCTGTCTCGAAGTTACCAGGAACGGCTATTTTTCCTATCAAGATTCAGCACTATTTACAAACGAAAGCAATCGTTTGGATCTATTTAGCGTAGGGTTAGTTTACTAGTTTTGCCAATAGTGGTCCAGTTTTTTACCCAAGACTCTAAATCAAATTTGAAATATATTTTTAAATTAAACATATGTTCGAACCTTGTATTGTAAAATAAATGAAAATTTGTGCTAAAATGTGTAATATAAACCTAGTGAACGGGGGGATTTAAGATAGGGTCAATTCGAGCACCATTAGGGCCTAAAGCTGTGTGCCAGTTACCCTAGTTTTATTGCTTCGTTTTTCAGAAAAACTACGACTTTTTTTAAATGTAAATGTTAACATCCATCAACAGTATATTTCGTGCTGAAATCATAACATTCATAAGTTGACTTACTAAAAGCACAGTGAAAAATATTACTGGTTAATAACGCTTTTGATTCGTATCTGACCGACTTGAAAATAATAGTTAAAAAATCCTTTGAAAAGCCCCCCTGTAGAGCAAGTCGAAAAAAGAATGGCCGCAATACCTTGATAATATACAAATCGCTCTTTACTCCTAGGGTAAATTCCCTTCAGCAAACGTCAGTCTGTGCGCGAAAACTTACCCTTTAACTCTTATGAAAATCCCATAAGATACTGTCAAGCTTTGCGTGAAGAGACGGTGCTTCACTGGTACTATGGTGGAGTGAAGATATAATACAAAGTTCGCTAGATTCATGCACAGTTTGACAGCTGATTATGGAATTTTACCATAGGAGTAAAGAGTTGCAATACAGAGTCGTCGAAAAACGTCAATGTTTACTGAGCATGCAACCATATATCTGCTTCTCTTCCAAAAGAGCCAATGTCGCAAACGTTAACGATTACTTTTTCCACTCAAGTAAACGACCACGATGATTATGTAGAGGGAGATCTATCTGACAGAATTGGTGGCTAACATGGATTGACTTTGAACAAGGAGAAATTTACGAAAGAAGCCATTGCTTACGTTTTCAACATTGGTCCTTGTGAACGCTCAGTGTCGATATCATGAAATTTTTATTTTGACAGATCGATGGCCAACTATACCAGTTATACCACTGAGGCAATACAAAAAAGGGGCCAGTTACTTTGGAAGAAGTTCCATATATGTTATATGGACAGGGGGTGCACTATGGTTGAAATCGCAAAATTTCACGTTAAAAATCTGTATCTTGAAAACTATGCACTCTTCGGAAGAGTTTGTCCACAAGAAAAGATCTTCCTTTTGGCGAAGGTGACTAGGGTGGCTAGATCCGCCCTACCGTTCATACTGGGGACAACGCTCTGATGAGACAACGAAACCTCACCCCAAGCTCCTCCCCTGATCCAATCCTTCAATGTACCCCTCTAACCTCGGGTAAGCCGCGAGTATTCGGCCCAACTCCTATTTACTAGGCATAGAAATAAGTTAATTTTGTTACAAACATGAAATATCAGTCCCGTAACTTTTTTCATCAACAGAATTTCATGAAATGATGTGTTTAGCTTTTGCAGGTTTTGATATTACCGTATGCGTGATAATGTTTGCACCATCGTACAAATAAGGTTCCCGTTTCACCTGTGCATACAATGCCTTGGTTTTCTTTGCATGCACGTAACCTATAGCTCATACCGTAGTAGGCTGAGTATAAAAGAAAATGATTTACTTAGTTTGACAGTTGCACCATGACGAAGTGGCAGCGTATTCGTGATTTGTCCCACGTGCAAATGTCGCAAAAAGACATTTCAATCGCCGTGGGAGTATCCCGGTGGACCGTCAAAAGGGTTTTAGACCGAGAAAAGAAAGGACAACTATCCGCGAAGGTGGATACAGGTCGTCCGAGGTTAGCTCGGGTTCCGAGGGTTATCGCTGCTATCAAAAGGAAGATTCGGGTGGATCCAGTGCGTTCAATAAGGAAAATGGCAAAGGACCACGGGATCAGTGACTTTACGGCACGGAAGATCGTAAAGGAAGATTGCGGGGCGAAGTCGAGGGCACGGAAATAAACTCACATGATTACCAACCGCATCCGGGAGCTACGAGTCGAACGATGCAAGAACATCTTGAACTTCCTTAAGCGAAAAAATCCGGTAATCCTGTGCACCGACGAGAGCATGTTTACCGTCGATCCCGTATCAAATTCCAGAACCAACCGGTATATTAGTTCTCTTCCAGTAAAAGACGTGGCCGATGAGCACAAGAACGTGTATCTGACCAAGCATCCTGCTAGCGTTATGGTGTTTGGATTGGTGGCTTCCGTTGGCAAAACAATGCTCCCGGTGTTCATTCCAGCAGGCGACAAGGTCAACACGGAGGTCTACATGGGGATTTTAAGTAAGTATGTTCTTCCGTGGATCAAAGAACAGTACGGTCCAAAGCCAAATGTTGTATTTCTACAAGATGGGGCTCCGTGCCACACCTCGAACCGCACTCAGAAGTGGTTGCAGGAACATCTTCCGTTCTGGGCGAAGGATATGTGGCCGCCATCCAGCCCCGACCTTAATCCGCTGGATTACTCAATATGGCGCGTCATGAAGCCCAAGGCCTGTTCTAAACGCCACCCGAGTACAGCAAGCCTCAGACAAACATTGACCCGTACCTGGAGAGAAATGGATCCAGACTAAATTATTAGCACCTGCCGTGCATTCCGGAAGCGTGTGGAGACCGTAATTGCAGCAAGTGGAAACTCGATCGATGATTAACCTAGTTTAAGACTCTGAGAAACATCCCCCTTTTGAATAAATAAAAAAAAAACTCGAAAACGACATTTTTGAGATTTTTTTTTAAATTTTGACATTGCTCAATGCTGCAAACATTATCACGCATACGGTAGCTACAACTTTTGTAAAAAAAAACTCAAATCTGTATCTCTTATGCATGATGAACCAGAGCGTACAGAACCCACTATTGTTTTTCAGTGCATGTAAATTACATTCACTGAAAAATAATAACAAGTTCTGCCCGCTGTAGTTTGTCATGCATAAGAGGTACAGATTTGAATTATTGACAACACTTGTAGCTAACATGAAAACTTACAAAAGCTTCATACATCATCGATCGGAATTCTATTGATGGAAAAAGTTAAAGATAAATCAATGTAAATGAATGCACGAAATGAATGTAAATGATTTGCCATGCCTGACAAGATCATGAGAGGATGCATATTTTGAAGGTTTTTGAGAAATGCTAGATGCTAAAATTAATGCTCTGGGGAATGTCACACCTTTAGTGAGTGGTGGGCTATCCGTTAGAATAGAGCATAGAGTCTCTATCAGGGCCCAACATAGCCACTTTCAATCGAAAATCGTCAAGCGACGACGAAGCTGTCAACCATCACTTTCAATTGAAAGCCATTCTGTCTTCTCTTCGAGCAGATTCCCTTCAACATCAACAGAACCACTTTCGATCAGTTTTCATGCTGTCTGTTTTGGCTTGGCTCACGTGTTCATCTCGTCTTTCATTGTCAAATGAACTTACGTTCGCATTGAAGCGAAGCTGTTCGATCCAAATTCACGCTCACTCGGTTCATGCGCATAGATCTGTACGGTTCGTTTACCTATCAATATGGGTATTCTTGAAATCGGGGTGACGTATAGAGGCTGGAAATCGATGACCGACGCCATTTTTAAATCCAATATGGCGACTTCCGACTTCAGAAAAAATTGGGAAATACTGACACCGTCCCATCAATATGGGTATTTGTTAATTGGGGTGACGTCTAAAGATCGAAAATCGATATGCGATGCCATTTTAAAATCCAATATTGCGGCTTCCAGTTTAATAAAACGTGGAATATACTGTCAAATATCGATTAATATAGGTATTTTTGAATCGGGATGACGTATAGAGAATGAAAATGGATATTCGACACCATTTTCAAATCCAAGATAAAGACTTCCGTTTTCAGACAAAAAGGGGGACATACTTATGCCGACCCATCAATATGGGTAATTTTGAAATCGGGGTGTGGTCTTCAGATTGGAAATAAATATTTGACGCCATGACGGGTCCCGTATTTCATAAATACTGTGAAATCCCGATCAATATTGACATTTTTTTTGTAAACCTATGGCCACCATCTTGGACTCCAAAATGGCGTCGAATATCGATTTCGGCATCTACGCGTCATCCCTGTTGCGAAAATACCCATATCGTAGGGCATTTGACACTTTTGTGAAACCCGATGGCCACCATATTGGATTCCAAAATGGCATCGGATATCCAATTTCCGTATCAACGCGTTGTTCCCGTTCGGAAAACACCCATATCTTAGTGTATTTAACACTTTTCTGAAAACCGATGGCCGCCATATTGGATTTTCGGCATCTATGCATCGTTCCCGTTCCGAAAAAAAAACCAATATCTTAGGGTATTTGACACGTTTTCTGAAAACCGATGGCCACCATACTGGATTCCAAAATAGTGTCGACAATCGATTTTCGGTATCTATATGTCGTCCTAGTTCCGAAAATACCCATATAGTAGTGTATTTGACACTTTTTTTTTTTAAACCCGATGGATTCCAAAATGGCATTGGATATCCAATTTCCAAATCAACGCGTTGTTCCGGTTCGCAAAATACCCATATCTCAGTGTATTTGACACTTTTCTGAAAACCGATGGCCACCATATTGGAATTTCGGCATCTATGCGTGGTTCCCGTTCCGAAAAAAATCCATATCTTAGGGTATTGACACGTTTTCTGAAACCCGATGGCCGCCATCTTGGATTCCAAAATGACGTTGAATATCGATTTTCGCGTCGTCCCGTTCCCAAAATAGCCATATTGTAGGGTATTCGATACTTTTTCTGAAAACCGATGGCCGCCATCTTGGATTCCAAAAAGGCATCGAATAACGATTTTCGTTCTACGTTCCAAAAATTCCCATATCTTAGGGTATTTGACACTTTTTTCGAAACCCGATGGCCACCATATTGGATTACAACATGGCATCGAATATCCAATTTCCGTATCAACGCCGTTCGGAAAAAAACCCATATCTTAGTGTATTTGACACTTTTCTGAAAACCGATGGCCGCCATATTGGATTCCGAAATAGCGTCGAATACCGATTATCGGCATCTACGTGTCGTTCACGTTCTGAAAATACCCATTTTAGACTTAACCTGAGCCCGATGGTCACCTTCTCGGATTTCAAAATAGCGTCTTAAATAGATTTTCGGCACCTTCGCGTCATCCCCGTTCCAAAAATACCCATCTTGGACTTCAGAATGGCCTCGGTAATTTAATTTTCGTTTAATATAAAATAACAATTTATATTGTGCGGATACTATCCGGATACTATATTTTGATACCCGACGACGAGACGCGTGACAAGTCGAATGAGTTCCGATTTGAAGTGAAAGTGAAAGAAACGAAGGAAGCACTTTTCGAGTCATTCATTGCGTCAATTGAAAAAAAAAATCTTTGTTTCAAATGAAATGAACTGATGATCTTGACGGACGAAACAAACGATAGCCATGTCATGTTTGACAGGAGGAATGTTCATCGTGACTTGATAACTAGAAACACAATGACTTACACGAAAATTATTCCCAAAACAACGGGTAAACGTGATTACAGTGTTGGCAAAATCATCAATCAAATAATATTTTTCCGCTTTCATACGCTCTCAATATCACGCGTGATATGGGAATAAAATATCATGCTTGATATTGATTTTACAAGCTCCTTTGATATTGCGAGACAATTCAAAACGTGCAAAAATCAAGCAGAGAGCTGACTCGACACAAAAATGACTCCGTTGCACATCGTTTTCTTAGAAAGAGAAAGTATGGTTTGCTATCTCTTTTTACTCTTCACTCTCCACCAGACACGAAGGGACTGCTGCCAGCCGTTATGGAAGCTTCGGTTGAGTTCGGGTATAAAGCAAAAATCATTAAACCAATCTCACCACAGTTTGGTGAGATTTGCAGCTGGTGAGTTTTGTTAGCTTGATATTCCGAGCTGCGATATCACTGCTTGACCGCAGTTGTTTGCTTGTTGATTTTTGTCTACGAAAATTAAGCATGATCCTATGCATTGGTGAGATTTGATTTTTTGATATTTTTCCAATACTGCGTGATTATTCCGTAATTAAAGTAAAAATATAGCTGCTTTTCCTTACGGGAAGATTAATTCCTCGTTAAATGATGAATCGGAAAAACTCAACCTTCTCCGATTGGCATGAAACTTTGCATAGTTGGTTCACATTTTTGCTAAAATCTGAAATTTTTGGATCTTGTATTTCTGTTCAAAATGGCATCTTTGACAATTTCCAAAAACGGAAACGGCACTTCTGATCGAAATGCCACAAAAATTGTAGAACAAGAACTTTTGGTAAAAAATATGAACTTTTTGATAGACCAAAAATATCCATAAGCGACCAAAAATATCCATAAGTACCGTCCCAATGACGCGGTCATCTAGATAAAATTGATAAATAGCAGATTTTTAGCGATGGGCCCAATCTTAGGTCCATAGGCCAACATTAGAGCCATTTCCCCTATTATATAATTTTTCGAACAATTTTAATTTATATTTGACATCAAGCTGTGTGCTGGGGTCTAGACATTGCTGGTGTGCATTCAAATCCTTTGGTAATGCAGACACGATTTTCTCCATATTGCTCCAGTGGGAGTTGTATTAAAGACATAAACTCAAACGCACACACACACATAGATATCCGATTCAAGCTGCTCACAAGGCTAGCTTCTTTTCCCTTTTCTTTTAACTTTCCTTCTTCTCTTTTCTATTCAGAAAGCGCTAAAATCATAAGCAAAATAGAGTTAGTGATCATGTCCCAACCGCCAAAAGAAAATTGAGGACCACAAAACCTTTTTAGACTTGATACTTCCAACGATCAACTATTTATAAATAACATAACAACGGAACTTACGGTACGAGACGTCCACGTTCAATCCAGTTATTGGATTCTAAAGCATCGTGTTTTAATCTTAGATTTAAACAGGCTCGATCTTCCTGAATCATCTTACCCCTTAAATGCTGCACAGTAGGGTGTTGCGCATCTGTGATATGTAACATATAAAAAATAGACAATGGAGGTATATCCATCATTTGCGAGGATGCTTTCAAGAACCGGCTATGTTGTGTTAGATTAGATTAGATTAGATATATGAGATAAATTATTTTGAAATATTGGTCCTGTTATGTTTAGTAGAATTAATTCCTGATTTTATTTGAGCAAAGCTATAAAGGCATTACGAAGTACATGAAACTTATTATGTCGATGCATATTCTGGCAGAATATATATGAAAAATGAATCAATCAGTAACATATTATTTGAGAATTTTTAATTATTCTTTGTAAAACTCCGACTACCACTATTCCAACTCCCGGTGCAATTTAAATACATTTACAAGTTGTACAAATCTACACACCTCCCTAGCCGTTAGTCCTGAACGAAGAAAATTAGCTCCACTTTCACGCACGCCTGCACTCATTGTAGAGAAAAGACATGTTGCAAAGTTTTCCCCCCACTTGAATCAGTGCTATATAGGATAAAGCGGGATCCAATTTGTCGTTTGCATTTTCCAAGACGCCAACGCCGTCGCTTCCATCGTCGTGTGTATTCATGCTAATTTACAGAAACTGTCAACCACCGCTGCCACTGAACATGGGAGTCCTCTCTCACAGTCAAGTTTCACTTGTGAAAGGAAGGATAATTTGGAAGACGGTGTCGGACAAGAGGCAAGGCAAGTCAACAGCAGCACACTTCAGCGATTCGAATTTCAACTTGTTCAAATACCATTCGCATTCCCACTCCCGTAGCTTGTGGTTTGGGTTTTGCATTTTCCAACGACTCGAACGCTCTGGCAAAGGGTTCCAATTTCCCCAGACGTACATAGTATGGTTTGAAAGGAGTTGCATTCTGCAAAGATGTCATTTTACATTTCCCTGCTCATTGAGTATATAAGACTACCAAACGATAAACAAATTGCGAAAGCAAATATGATCTTTTGACAGTTTGTCGTTGGATTATACCGGTTTTAAATTACTTTTCTTTCGCGTTAGATTTATGTGTCAGTGCCGGGTTGTGAAAGATTATTTATTCCTTCATACGTTATTCACATCAAAGACATAGGAAATGTCCCTCGTGCCGTCGGTGCGGAACATATGCACCAGCTGTTCGTGGAAAAGTTGGTAAGGTACCTGTGCAGCACGACACCTGTCCGTTTGACAGTCGTATGAAGTTGCGGCCAGATACTGTTTAGCGTATTCCAAAAATGCCTTTTTCTTAGCATTGTATCCCACCAGCACATAGAGTCGATCCAAATCCAAGCCGTTCTCGTCAGTGTAGATTTCGCTGCGCAGCAGTAAGCACCGTGCATAGCAATTCGATGAATCGTTTAAAGAAGCTGAATTCAGTAGTTCCTCTCGCGGAAGTTTGAGGATATCTACGCAATCTAGCTGATGCTGACTGATGTCCAGTTCCGTTGGTGGAATGAATTGGTTTAGCTGTCTTACCAAGTTGCCATAGTTGTCTTTGTAACAGAGAAACGACCAGTACGCTCGCGAACAGCTGTCTCCGGGGATGCAATTTGGCAAGGTTTGGTCCAGGCAGCGTCGAGTGCGCTCTTCGTAATCACAGTCGGCTGAATCGGGAATGAAGTACTGCTGAATCGTGGAATGTTTCAGAAGTCCCCGGGGGTTGGACCAGGCGTGAAGTTCGATCAGCACACACTTGACGAAGCATTGCGTGTCCCGGTCATCCGGGAAGGTAAGCGCTCGGTACGACGCAAGACGACTTTCACACACTTGGAGATCACGGCCGCAGGTTTCTATGGCGTGATCGAGTGGTATAACGATTACTTCGGAAGCAACGAAAACAGCGAGAAAAATTGCAATTGTAATCGATAGCATTTTAGCTCTCGTGTAGGACTAACTGTAGTGCCAGATTTCAACCCAGGCTTTATAAGATCGTCACGCGGAAGGTGAATTCATTTGGATGATGCGCTTAACGGGAAGGTGATGTATTTCGGCACGTACCACGCATAACCGCTTATGGTTATGATGCCTATTTTCAAAACACGGTGATGTAAACCACGTAGTGAGTTGTTTTTCGTCTTCAACGGTTAATTGTACAATACGTCGTCGCCAGCAATATATAACTCCCGTCGGGAGCCTTTCGGGCGCCATAAGTATCCTAAGCGCACCCGTTTCACCATGCTGCCCCTGTTAATACTGTTGATCATCCGAGTGGCAGGTAACAGTGGCTTGCTGCAGGATTCACCATTCTATCACGCATTAGAAGTTTGTGCTCGTGATCTGTCAGTTCCCCAGGATCGATATGCGCAATACCAGCTGTTGATCTTCCCCGACGATCCGTATACGCACTGTTTCATGCGATGCATCCTCACAGGAATACGAGCGTGGCATGATCAAACCGGGGTTCGTCATTCTGCACTCCAGCAGTACTTCACACCGGAAGATCATCCAGCCGATGCGTACGTTCGAGTGCAGGCCTGCTTGCATCTAGTGGCAAACAACTGTCTAGCGGCGGATAAATGTGCTCAAGCGTATTGGTCGATGAACTGCTACAAACAACATTTTGGAAACTATTTCTTCAGTCGAGAACAGTTTGTACCAGCCACGGACATCCAGGGTGCACAGGCTATGTTCGACTGCGCGGACAAACTAGATATTTCACGAGCGGTTGTGGCTGAGTACCGATACGGAAACCGTAGCTTGCAAAATAGCTGTCAACAGCCGTGCTTTGTGCGATGTGTTGCAAAAGCCATTGCTCTGTACGATGATGATGCGGGATTACTGTGGGACCATTTATATGTTCAACTTGGCGTTACCGAGCATAGGGAAGCATACTTGGAGCGAGTGCATCAAGTGGTAAGTGGATTGAAGTTGAGCACACTGGACAGATGTGCAGCTGCAGCGCAGGTCATCGAACCCTTCCTGTTTAGTGCGTTCCAAAAGTCAAACTTTAGAACCGGAGTACATGTGGAGTTCAATTTGCAATCGATATGAGCAAGAATAAACGCAAGCGCAAATTTCAAGTGGATTTGGTTTTTTTGCAATTGAAAATTGCGAACGTTTTCGACATTCCAGTGAGTATCCGTGACCTCATTCTTCACTTAACGTGTGGAAGTTAACCTTTACTAGTACTACTACCCTGCTATATGAATATAATGCACGCAGAAATGTTAAGCATCCCACATTAGGTTTTACTCAAGCTGCCAACGATGAAGCAGAAGGGGCTTCACTAGCCGACTGAGGGGAAACGGACTTCCTCTTTTGCCCTATATCTCCCGTCAGGAAGGCAATATCACGGTCATCCTTCCATCCTACCGTTATGGTCCTGACATAATCGTTTCATAGACCATAAATATTTTCTTCACTACTCTGTGTCGGGATAATAGAAAGCTTTCACTCTTCCACGAACGGTTGCGACAATCAACCTACCTAAATAGTTCAAGTTTCGTGTTGGAAAAGTTATGACGAAAACGATGAGGTATATATGCTTGCAGTCATGTGTGAAAAGTTTATTGTGTTTCAGATGAACTAACTAACGAACGAACGAAGGAACGAACGACCGACCAAACAGAATGCTTCCCAGCTTTTAAAGGCTGCAAACATTCGCATTCATTTCTAGTGAATGGCACCTGACATACATATATGATGCGACTACATATCTAGTCCGGAGATCGTGGCAATTTGGTTGGCATTTTCGTAGTTCGCTTCCTTCAGCGAGCTGGAACCGAGCTGGTAGATTAATTTTGAAGTTATGCTTACTCTAGGGATGGTGCCAAATTGTACCACTTTGTATGATGGGATTGTTAACATAACAAGTGTTGTAGAATTAGTTTCCCCAAGCATCTGAAAATGAGCTTTCCTCGTAGCATCGCGGGCGAAAAACGGTAACAAGAACAATAAACATTTGTACAACAGGACTGTCTCTCGATTAGTAGAGTCTAATGAAATGAAACAAACGGTTAAATAACAGAGAAACATGAACAAAACAGTTTTCGACTTTACGAAATGCTTGAGTAACAACTAAACATTACCGAAATGGTCCTATTGATATTTGGTTGGTTATCTAGTGTTAGGTTTGTCTTTTTTCTGAATAATTAAATTAGTTTAGTAACAAACAACTGTTCAAACGCATTTCCTGTGTAGAGGTGGTGTTTTGTACAGTGAAAAATAATCTATCTTATAGTGGGAGAACTAAAATCAGAAGTGAACTAATTTGATTTGGTATAAACTCGTTTGTTATTAAAATTTTGACACATGATCTTTTATACCAAACCAAATAATCCTGAACATGATGAAAGATATATGGCATAAAATTTCAACTCCTATGGAATCTAATGATGCAGGAGGAAAAAAAAACCAAGTAAAATGATTGTGTACCAGACGACAAAAAAAAATGGTGGAAGTCTTGTGTTTTAGTGAATCAATATGATTTCAAATGAAACTGCACATAAATGTCAAAGTCCGATAGGTGATGGTGGCAATCGGGGCACAAAGGTTAGTGGATGAGGATGTAGTAGTAGATCAAAAAATTGAAATTTCTAGTGACTAACCCGAAACACACATACCCAAACAGACACTCGGAGGAATTAGGGCAATGGGGGTGAAGAAGTAAAGAAGGGGAAGTGAAACATGAAATGCTCTAAATGTGAAACCTGTACATAGAGAGATAGAGAGAGAGAGTGGAAAGTATCTGAAAATGTGATTATGCATGGAATGGGACGATGAATGCGAGTGTGGTCGAGAGTTTAATGATTTTATATGATGCATCCTACTATTGGAAAATGTTAGAAAATGAAACATGAGTATCGAGGGTGAGTTCCTAATACTATTTTAAGATGAGAATAATTTAACTGTTTTGTGAGGGAAAGTAGACCCAATCTAAAAACAGGAACAATCAAACTTACCGAGGTGTCTCCATGATGGTGACGGTGAGCGTGCTGAGGAACCTCGGTGGGCTCACTGAAATAAATAGGAACATGTGAACAATTCAATCAATCTCCCAGTTTCGATTGACTTACGCCTCATCCTCATCATCGTAGTTGTAGTCGTAGTCTTCATCATTCTCGTATTCATCCTGATCGTTCTGCCGCTTCACCCGCCGCGGTAGATTGTCCTCTGACTGCCAAGTCCAGATGGACCACCAACCAAAGTCTAATCCGGAAATGTCATCCAGCGCTCGCTCTTTCATCTGTTGAGCGATGGTATTAACAATCAGTTTCTCGCTCGGGAAAATCGTCTTTCCACAGCCAATCTACGTAGGAAGAAGAGAACAACATGGTTGAAATTTACGATAATGCTACGAATTAGCTGTACTAATTACCAAAAATCCAACACGTCCCTGCTTCCGCTTGTTGCTGTTCAGATTGTTTCGACCTCGTCGCAGTGCCTTTGCTGCCATCTCGTGAAGTTCCACGCGGTTGACGTCATCGATTATGAAGTTTTCCTGCGGAAGAAAAGACCATTTTTTTTAGGTTAAAGTAAACTGCGAATGGACACTCAAATTGTGTGGCGTTAAGTCATCAAAATAAGTAACAGGTATATTCAATAAAAAAAAAACAACTTTATTAACGAATAAATTAGCACAGATCAGTTACCACTATATAACATAATTGAAAAATATATCCATCAGGCTATTCACAACATTCATGGCTTTGCCAACTGCAACTATTATTTCCTGGGCCATGGGAGGTTTCGCAGTAGCGGTAGCCGTTGCGGGAGTTGTAGTGGTGGATTCGGCAGTAGTGCTACTCGAAGCTATGCTAGTTGTTGTAGTAGTGGACTTTTCTGTGGAAGTGGTGGGGAGCTCTGTTGATGGAGTTGAAGTTGTTTCGGCTTGCGTTGGAGCTGTTTCTGTTTTCGTTTGAGTTGGCTCCGTTTCCGTCGAATCAGGTTCTGTTTCCGTTGGAGTTGATGCCGTTTGGGATTGCGTTGGAGCTGTTTCTGTTTCTGTTGGAGTTGTATCCGTTTCCGTTGGACTTGTTTCCGTCGGACTTGTATCCGTTGAACTTGTTTCCGTTGGACCTGTTTCCGTCGGAGTAGGCTCCGTTTCCGTCGAATCAGATTCTGTTTCCGTTGGAGTTGTTTCTGTTGGAGTTGTATCCGTTTCCGTCGGACTTGTTTCCATCGGACTTGTATCCGTTGAACTTGTTTCCGTAGCACTTGTTTCCGTTGGACCTGTTTCCGTCGGAGTAGGCTCCGTTTCCGTCGAATCAGATTCTGTTTTCGTTGGAGATGATGCCGTTTCGGATTGCGTTGGAGCTGTTTCTGTTTCTGTTGGAGTTGTATCCGTTTCCGTCGGACTTGTTTCCGTTGGACTTGTTTCCGTTGGACCTGTTTCCGTCGGAGTAGGCACCGTTTCCGTCGAATCAGGTTCTGTTTCCGTTGGAGTTGATGCCGTTTCGGATTGCGTTGGAGCTGTTTCTGTTTCGGTTGGAGTTGTATCCGTTTCCGTCGGACTTGTATCCGTTGGACCTGTTTTCGTTGGATCTGTTTCCGTCGGAGTAGGCTCCGTTTCCGTCGAATCAGATTCTGTTTCCGTTGGAGTTGATGCCGTTTCGGATTGCGTTGGAGCTGTTTCTGTTTCTGTTGGAGTTGTATCCGTTTCCGTCGGACTTGTTTCCGTTGGACTTGTATCCGTTGAACTTGTTTCCGTTGGACCTGTTTCCGTCGGAGTAGGCTCCGTTTCCGTCGAATCAGATTCTGTTTTCGTTGGAGTTGATGCCGTTTCTGATTGCGTTGGAGCTGTTTCTGTTTCTGTTGGACTTGTATCCGTTTCCGTTCGACTTGTTTCCGTTGGACTTGTTTCCGTTGGACTTGTATCCGTTGAACTTGTTTCCGTAGGACTTGTTTCCGTTGGACCTGTTTCCGTCGGAGTAGGCTCCGTTTCCGTCGAATTAGGTTCTGTTTCCGATGGAGTTGATGCCGTTTCGGATTGCGTTGGAGCTGTTTCTGTTGGAGTTGTAGCCGTTTCCGTCGGACTTGTATCCGTTGAACTTGTTTCCGTAGGACTTGTTTCCGTTGGACCTGTTTCCGTCGGAGTAGGCTCCGTTTCCGTTGAATCAGATTCTGTTTCCGTTGGAGTTGATGCCGTTTCTGATTGCGTTGGAGCTGTTTCTGTTTCCGTTGGACTTGTATCCGTTTCCGTTGAACTTGTTTCCGTTGGACTTGTATCCGTTGAACTTGTTTCCGTTGGACTTGTTTCCGTTGGACCTGTTTCCGTTGGACCTGTTTCCGTCGGAGTAGGCTCCGTTTCCGTCGAATCAGATTCTGTTTCCGTTGGAGTTGATGCCGTTTCGGATTGCGTTGGAGCTGTTTCTGTTTCCGTTGGACTTGTTTCCGTCGGACTTGTTTCCGTTAGACTTGTTTCCGTTGAACTTGTTTCCGTTGGACTTGTTTCCGTTGGACCTGGTTCCGTCGGAGTAGGCTCCGTTTCCGTCGAATCAGGTTCTGTTTCCGTTGGAGTTGATGCCGTTTCGGATTGCGTTGGAGCTGTTTCTGTTTCTGTTGGAGTTGTATCCGTTTCCGTTGCACTTGTTTCCGTCGGACTTGTATCCGCTGAACTTGTTTCCGTTGGACTTGTATCCGTTGGACCTGTTTTCGTTGGATCTGTTTCCGTCGGAGTAGGCTCCGTTTCCGTCGAATCAGATTCTGTTTCCGTTGGAGTTGATGCCGTTTTGGATTGCGTTGGAGCTGTTTCTGTTTCTGTTGGAGTTGTATCTGTTTCCGTCGGAGTTGTTTCCGTCGGACTTGTTTCTGTTGGACTTGTATCCATTGAACTTGTTTCCGTTGGACTTGTTTCCGTTGGACCTGTTTCCGTCGGAGTAGGCTCCGTTTCCGTCGAATCAGATTCTGTTTCCGTTGGAGTTGATGCCGTTTCGGATTGCGTTGGAGCTGTTTCTGTTTCTGTTGGAGTTGTATCCGTTTCCGTTGGACCTGTTTCCGTTGGAGTTATATCCGTTTCCGTCGAATCAGGTTCTGTTTCCGTTGGAGTTGATGCCGTGTCTGATTGCGTTGAAGCTGTTTCTGTTTCTGTTGGACTTGTTTCCGTCGGACTTGTTTCCGTTGGACTTGTATCCGTTGAACTTGTTTCCGTTGGACTTGTATCCGTTGGACTTGTTTCCGTTGGACTTGTTTCCGTTGGACCTATTTCCGTCGGAGTAGGCTCCGTTTCCGTCGAATCAGGTTCTGTTTCCGTTGGAGTTGATGCCGTTTCTGATTGCGTTAGAGCTGTTTCTGTTTCTGTTGGAGTTGTATCCATTTCCGTTGGACTTGTATCCGTTGAACTTGTTTCCGTTGGAGTTGTTTCCGTTGGACTTGTGTCCGTCGGAGTAGGCTCCGTTTCCGTCGAATCAGGTTCTGTTTCCGTTGGAGTTGATGCCGTTTCGGATTGCGTTGGAGCTGTTTCTGTTTCCATCGGAGTGGACTCCGTTTGCGTTGTTGTCAAACCGCAGTTGGCATTCTCAGGAAAGTCACACTGACACGATTCACGATTAAAGTGTAACTTAACGGGACACGATAGTACCACCGGGAGGAACGAAATACACAGGTAGTATTTTGCGCAGTTTTCATGTGGCCGCAGAACCAAATGCGTAGGATCAAATACGGCTGGGCACTGGCCAGATTTTTCGCCACAAGACATGGATGGTTCTACGTCGGAGTTCGAAGCAGTCCTTATGTCGAGTTTGCTCATCAGCGTAATTTTCCGTTTCTTTCTACATTTCACTGTGGTAATGTTTGATGAACATGTCTTTTCCAACACGTTCCAGAATGAGCCTACAGGGCATGATTGGACGATTTTTATTTGTCCAGCACAGGTAATGTATTTCTCACAATCTTCGGCATGTGCCAACATTTGCACCGCAGATTGTACATTGTAAGAGCATTCGTTTTCACTGAGTACTACCGATGTCGATAGTAGGGAGAAAAGAGCTGGGATCCATAACTGGGAAGCTGAAGGCAAATCCATAAGTTATCATAATTTAGTTAAATGAAAATTCTAAAACTTACAGGTCATTTTTGGTTTCACTAATTGCAGGTGTTCACTTGAAGGTAATTTGAGCTACTGAATAGACTATTGGAGAGCACTAGATAGTTTATCATATCCAGAACGTGAGTTTCAAGTGCTATTGATAATGATGTATCAACCGACAACCAGCAACGTGACTTTGTATATTTCCGCTTAGAAAGTTTAATTACTTAATGATACTGGATATCGATTAAAATAGTGACACTCCATTTGCGCATCAATGCATATGCATAAATAGTGAAGCAATTTAATTGTTTTGTGTCATAGGGCAGTTATGGTTTGCCTACTCATTCTTTCCATATTGTTTATTTTTTTCTTATCGTGATTCACTGTGAATCCCAACTTTAAAAAGTAAAAACAAATGTATGCGTGCAATTGACCTGCATATTTCTTGATAGAAAATTGGCCCATTTGGCGTCTTCTTCGGTGGTCTCTGGTTTGTTTGATAATCAAGATTCTTTTGAAGATCCCTTTCCTGGAACGTTTTGATAGTTAGATGGCGGTATTTTCCTTTGTTTTGGACCCACCTATCGTAACACTCACCGAAACACGCATCACATATAAAAAGTTTCAACATAGCTATATAACAAGATGGAGAGGATCAGTGAACCGGATTGAAATCGAATGTACAGGCCTATATCTTCATATATTCGTTCCATTATCAATGGACAGAGACACATCCACTGCGCTCCAATCGAAAAAAAAACTAACAAACACGACGACCGCTCTGCCGAGTTGCATTCGAGCAAAAGTAGAAGAAACACACAAATTGGATTATTTTATCATGATTAATAGGTAGGGTCCATTAGTGGAGGCACGCGTGTGCGAGTTGAAACCCATTCGTTGAGGGGCATAAAACCGTTTCATTACTGCGTGAAATCATCGTTGATGACAAAAATCGCTTTATCTTAAGGCGCTACAATTTGAGCCACACTTTGATCTTGCGTCGTGTGACGAGTTTCAGAGATTAACGGAAATTTTTCAATAGAGGCAGCATTCGGAATTCGTGGAAAGCTTGCTAGGATTCCCACGGGGATATTCCCTCTAGGGCGAGTATACTAATCCATCATTTTGGAATTGGGAGCTTACCTTCGGAATCAGGAAGAACTTGGACAGCTTGTTGATAGCCTTTTGACGCTTCTTCTCGACGATGTCGTCCCAGCTGTGCGACCGGAGCACCAGTGACAGCATAATCCTGCTTTGCGATGGTGGACATTGTGCTTTTTCCTTGAAAAATAGGAAACATTAGAGAGAATGAGCGTGAACAGGCTGTTGGGATTTTCTTCTTCTTTGGTTTGTTTTCCGTCGATCTTGTTTTCCGTACTGAGTACCAATGCTACCGACGCCAGGGAGGTAGCTTTTACACGTGGGCCCTACCTATCGACCCATCAACTCGTGGACCGGGGACCAACGGCTTTACTTCCCTTCCGAAGAGATTTTATGTCTCAGAAAATCCCGGCGGCGCCTGTTGGTGTGAGAGGTAATCACGCTTATCACTACACCACCGGCGCCGCTGGGCTGTTGGGAAGTATGCATTTTATGTTTGAGTACCTATCGGACACAGCCTAGAACAAAGTTAAGGTGAGGCTTCACAGTAAGCCTTTGCTGAAAGGGGTGAGTTAAATTCCAGTTCGGGACAGGATTTTTTGAATGAAAATTTTAGCGATTTCGTTGGACATAGACATAATATTAGAATGTAAATTTGCTTATAGGATAAGACTGATCTTAACATATATGGTCAAGTACTCAATGAATACTGAGTTGAAGGCAAAGTAAAAGCTCAAGTCGGAAGTAATAGCTCAAAAATAAAAGAAGGCTTATTTTCAATAAGTGCATTCATTGTTTATTAAGCGGCGCCGGTGGTGTAGTGGTAAGCGTGATTACCTCTCATCCCAGAAGCCTGGGTTTAATCCCAGTCGGCGCCGCCGGGATGTTATGAGACATTACATCTCTGATCACGCCTTCCTTCGGAAGGGAAGTAAAGCCGTTGATCCCTGGTTCATGAGTTGATAAGTCGATAGGTAGGGTCCAGGTGTGGAAGCTGCCTCCCTGGCGTCGGTAGTATTGATGCTCAGCACGGAAAACAAGATCGACGGAAAACAAATCAAGGAAAAAAAAATAATTGTGTATATTTCTCTAAAAGTTTATTCTTCACGTTCACAATGTCACTTTTACCAGGTAATCTCGCACAAAACCGAACAAACGAAACCAACAGGGGACATAATGAAGATAGAACACTTGTCAAACAAAGCCGTTTTCCTGGTTGTTCTATTATACACAGAAAAAAGGCTAAAAAGGAAAATGAATTATACTCAGATGCACGACCCAAGAAGGATCAAAGTCCTGGGTAATCAATCATTCCTCAGTGTGAGAGAGTAACGTCGCTGGTTCCTCTGCCGTCAATGCAGGGACTAAGACTTTTGACTTGGTTCTGCAGCTGATGGCGCCTTTGTCAGCCTTCGACTTGGTTGGTATCAACTCAGAATCAATTTGAAAATCCCGCCGTCGTCACCGTCGCCGTTGTCGTTGGGATCGACGACGACAAAGACGAAGGCGCCGACGGACGGAAAGGCCAGAACCTACGCAAACAGCAGGGTAATAAATTACAAATTGAGCTGTACTACCACCTACCTTGGAGTAAATTGATTTGATGGGTTGTGCTTTACTAACTACGTCCAGTGGTTCTGCCGCTGGCATTGGCTGTGGAAAAAAGAGAAAGAAGTAAAATGTAGCAATTAATTAAATCTGGACGCCATCGCAATCAATATCAACGTTTGGGCGCATTAGGAGAGGACTTTTCCCTGCACATATGCGATGAGCAGCAGACTACCATGGAAAGCAACCGAGCGAGAGGTGTCAAGCGTCCGAGTACCGTTAATAAATACTCCGATTAGAAGGCAGAACGAGCTTGTGTCACAGCCAAAGCCAGAGAATAAATTTGAATATCTTAACGCTTCATGGTTGGCCTTTGGGGCTTAGGAGGTACCTCTGCGGCAACGGGCTCGTTCACACGGGATATCTGGTTACGCGTTCTAGTTTGCCGCCGCCGGAAAAGTGGGAAGTATCAACAAGTTGTAAATATCGGAATTAATCATGTCGAAACAAATGATTGTCGATAATTAGTAGACTCCACAGCTCTGCGGTGGTTGAATTTCGACAATCCAGCGGATTTTATGGGTTAGATTTATCAAAATTCTTACTAGTATGAATATCGATGATTTCACATACACCGCCCCACAAAACGGCAAGTAATATAAAGTTTGCTTTATAGGTAACATAGCTTATTTTGGAATGGAACATATTATTTAACGACATACTGAGGATAGAGTTGATAAATGGCCACCATCATGACAGCTTTCTCGTTGAATCTTTTGGATTCAAAATCTCAAAACATCTTTACAACTCCCTTAGAATTATTTTAACAATATCTCGAAAATACAGATTAAATTAACTCGAAATGTTTAAAAACAGTCCAATAATGATTATTATTATTGTTCGTGTTATCGGTGTTGGGCCAAACCGCCTACTTGGCCATTGCGGGGTAGGAAGCGTTCTGTTAAATGTTCAGATCTGAATGGCTTACAGATGATTTTCTCACTCATGAGCCGGTTTTTTGCAATCATGTTTTGACGTAGGACTACGTCTGTGATTTCTATATGGGGGTACACTTTGTGAAAACCTAAAATGGAACATGTAACAAAATTATGAAAGATTTTGAACGTTAATAACTCAGCTGCCCCTGGACCAATTTGAATAATTTTATCACCAATCGATCAGAAATATTTCTACGCATCGCAATCAATCTGTTAAAAGACTTTATCATTTGTCAAAATGTCACTATTGAAAATTTCACGAATGTGCAACTGTTGCTATGATAGTTAAAATTATCACCGATTGCCTGCGAAAAACGATTTCAAAGTTGAATTAGTGGTGAGTGGTGGTGTTCTCCGGTCCTAGCGATCAAGGTTGACCTCAACCGCTGATCGGATTTAGTTCCAATTATCGTGTGTGGTGATGTCCGGTCGTCGGCATCAACAGGCAGCAGCAGTGCTTTCGGCAAGTGGCGTTGAACATTGTTCTCCAGTACACAACAAAAAGCAGCGAGCTGCAGCCCACATGAGCATCCATAGAAGTAGGAAGAAGCCACACCGCTATTGATCGGAATCAGTAGCTCTTCGTGAGTCGCTGTGGGCCATCGATGTCAAGCGCGTCATACTGAAGAGTATAAACAGAGAGAACCCCGCTCAAATTCCTATTCTCAAACAAAACACAAGCTCCAGCTGCAGTTAACAAATAAGATTTATTATATAAGGCCACGTAGTCCTGCGTCACCATTGCGTACAACCCCAGAAGGCTGTTCTCTTGTAGTTTTTCATTATTGAACATATGTGTACAGACAAGCTAAAATAGGGGACGACTGTATAAGATGGCCACCCGGGGTAAGACGACCACTCTTTTGCTTATTGAAACAATCTACTCTTGCAAATTAATGCTGCAGAGTTCTTTGCTACAGTATAAATAGTTTGCGCATGACGGCGGCCTGCATTCGTTAATTTTTGTTTACTGAATTTATTGCTTTAGAGCTATCATATAATTTATCATGTAAAAGTAACGTTACTTTAAGGAAAACACATGTCTGTTGGATGTATTTATTGTGAAAAATATACGATTTTCATTAAATTATGGGGTATAACAGAAGCTTTTACAGTTTGACATATGTCGGGGTAAGCCGAAAGTAAATAACAATATTGCCATAGTTGTAGATGCTTGACGTCAAATATCAGACTTCAAGTGGTCATTTTAAACGATAGATGTGGAGATGATAGTATAGAGATGAAAGTTCCGTCAGAGCACTACAGTGTGAAAATTGTATATAGAGAGTAGAAAGCGAGCAATGGTCAATTTTGAGGAATGCACGAATCGGGTTGATCATCTCCTTTACCAAACTCCCCTGTTGGGGGAGGGATGATGAGAGGTATCTCCCCCCGTCACCATTGGCAAAAGAGATGATCGCCTATTTGCTCACGTACCTCCGATGAGCGAAAACAGTTCTATCGATTGTTTCACAAGTCGTCATCAGACGTCAGCAACGTATGCAGAACCCGTAAAAGTAGTCAATTCATAAAACTAGGTTCAGGACTTCTAAAAAGCTTCTGTTACTGGCATTATATGTAAGATGATCAAGGCATTCCAAGTGGTAATGGTGCACAAGTAAATTATGAATCCCATCACTACGCGGCGCTAGTGAACATGTGAACTTTCTGTATCTATAAGCTATATCCTGAAATCCTCACCATCTATGAAAAGTCCACACGTAAACTAGTGTCACGTAGTGAGAGAATTCTGATCTAACTAACCCACAAATTTGAAGACATTGATCACATCTTTCCCGAAGACGGAACCATTCTTAATAGTAAAGATCTCAAGATATATTTTATACAGGAAATTGACTTGCACATCTGCACCGCATAGTGAGAAAATTCTGTTCTACTGGTCGCTATCCACCTTGACCTACTGTGTAATTTTGCCGAAGGCACTAAGCATCTATATGGCCAGGATCATGATATCTTCCATGTGGCCAACGGGTGGCCAACTCAGCATGTATATTAAGTCTGCTTTTGATTCGTGATAAAACATCATCAAATGAAAAGGAAATTTTCTGAAAATCAATCTAATTAGGGAAAGTACTCTAAGCCTAAATAATCACTAAATATATCGCGGAAATTTTATACAGTTTTGGTTAAATTTTACTTCAAGCTTAGGGTGGCCGTCTTCCTCCATCGTCTTCTACACGTGTAATTTACGTGTTTTCCAGATGCGATTGCTTCTTCTTATTCCTCGCATTTCAAGTGTTCTAGATGCACCTCCACAGTTATTAATTGAGAGCTTTTGATGCCTGTACCATTTTTGCATTAATATAATTGTGTGGCAAGTACAATCATAACTCTATGCCCAGGGAAGTCGAGAAATTTTCAAACCCGAAAAATTCCTAGACCGGACCGGGAATCGAACCCAGCCACCGCCAGAATGGTCTTGCTTTGTAGCTGTGCCTTTACCGACTGAGCTAAGGGAGGTCCCAGGGAGGTGCGATTGCTATAGATTTAAAATTAATCATGGGCGTAGCCAGGTTTTAAAAGAAGGCAATTTACTTGCTTGGTTTAACGACTCTAAGTAGTTAAGGTTAAAACTGAAAAAGCCATTAAACCAAGCAATTCCTCTCAAGTTCCACTCGTCACCATCATTAAGGCTTTTAGTGATGGATCATTAGGACGAATATCATTAGACCAATCCAAATCGGTTGTTTACCCGCATAAACGCGAATCATAACCTGACCTATCCGAAAATGGTTACAAATAATTTATAATCCCTGCTAAACTTTAACTGAAATGGTTACGGAACTATACATAAACGTTTTGTGTGATAAAGTTTTAACCTTATGTATTATGGTTCTTTGGAAGTGAACCTTACAAATAATGGGTTGTTAAGAAACATTACCATTCAAAATAGTTGTTTTGTCCATACATGGTGTTGTTTAACCATTTTTGGTAAGGTCAAGACTCATTGAACCGAATAGTTAGAATAGTTACAAATTGAACTAAGATCACTATTCTATAAAGACTACCTTTAAAAGGTACCGTAAAACGGGGTATCTTTGATAATGCGGGTAGCTTTGATAGTATAACAAAAAGATTAAATTTACTCACTGCGCTTTTTCCAAATTTGAAACATTGGCTCCATATTGTAGCGTAGGTTAATTCCTCTGATATTGTAAATAGTTTTTATATAGTATGTGTTCCATATTTTACAAACATATTAAAAACAAGTTTCGTGTTTTTCGCCTGTTTGAAAAAGTACTCAAACCACCACTTATGAAATGTACTTCCGATATAGTCATCACAAATTCAATGTTCAATTCTTATTGCTTATGATGTTTTCTGATTATATACTTATTTGAAGTTTCATATTTCAAGAACTAAATTGTTTGAATTTCACCCATTTTTTTCTACATTCATCGAGCATTATCAAAGAAACTCCAAATAAAAAAAACTGAAGTTCGGTCACAAAACTAAAAAAAATAGTGCAAATGCTTTAATTTCCGTTAAACATATTACTAACTTATTAACTCCTGGATCCCCAGTACTTGTTTTGAAAATATAAAATAGGAAAAACATTCATTTCTGTAAAAAATATTTAATATATTTTGACTATATGTTTTTAGTATTACTTCTACGTGAAGTCAACGATTTACATAGTTGAAGATGCTAATTTCAAATAACAGACTGTAGTGGTAATTTTTATACGATAGATGGAGTAGATGAAAGCATAGAGTTGATAGTTCCGTTAGAGTACGGCAGTGTGAAGATTGTGTATAGATATTAGAATAGCGAACTAGGACAACTTTTAAGGAAGGTACAAATCGGTTTTTTCATCTCTCTTGACCAAACTCCCCCTTTGGAGAGGGATGGTGAGGGGTGTCCCCCCCCCCCCGCCACCACTGGCAAAAAGAGATGAAAACCGACCCGTTCAAGTACCAACTGTGTGTTTGAAACAGTTCTACCGATTTTTACCGCACTTCAATTGTTATTTGAAGGAAGGCATCCAGTCGTAGGTTTGGAAATTGCAACTATTGTTTACCCCTACCACGATATGTGCTCCTGTCATCGTCGACTTGACGATCTCGAGGGGACACGGGTGGGGTA